CCCAACATTTGGACATCTGTAACCAGAGCACCCTGCGTGTTGCTCTAAGTAAGAGCATGGTGCCACCAAGCACATTCATATCTATTCATTTAATTTTGATCTTGTGTCCTTTATGCAATTGTTAAAAAAAAAAACATTTAAATAGTGCAATAATATAATTATTTCCTTATGGTTTGCATAAAAGGAGGTGGGAGCTAATAGTCATGTGTGACATAAACACAGTGAATCAAGTTCATGCAAACTGAACAAATCTTTGTTGTTATAGTGCATGTATTCAACTGAGAACTGATTATGTCTGTGTGTTAGAGACCCTGGTTGTGTGCACTCTAGCGTATATGACAATAAAGTAGTGAATCTTAATCTATTTACTAATTTATTTTTATTGTATTTTAAATAGGCCTATAGGCTCATAGGTCTTTTGTCCGAAAAACCAAAAACATTTTCACAGAAGGTACTTCCAGCTGCCCTGTTTAAATGTGTATCCAGTGGATACATTTTATGGGAAAATGTACAGCATAAAAAGCCAAACATGCAGGGAACAATAAAGCATTTTTGAACATTATTAGAATTGAAATAAACTGAAATTGTTTAATATGATGTTCCTATGGAGGTCATATAAAACGATTTCTTGCAAATGTTTACTTCTACATTCACATCGGCACCACAGGTAATTTTATAACAAGTGGCTCTGAGTTATTGAGTCATCTAACATTAAGTAACAAGAGTAAATAATTTATAAAAGTAAATAAAAGTTTCCTGCAGATTGCTTTTTTTCAGTTGTATGAAAAAATGTTGTTTAAGATTCTCTTTGTGTAGCAATCTCTCCCAAGAAAGCCAATACTTCAAAAGGACATACATCTTCAAAAAGGAGAATAAGAAGAGATTCAATCTTGAAAGAATGTAATGAAAATAGCTGGTATATACTTACACGATAGCGAGATGAAAACTTTGATGATTTCAAATCATTGCTCACCGACAAAAGATCTAATCTTGAAAACGGTGGAGGAATGGGTTTTTCTGTTGCTCAGTCTTATGTTTGTTATTTCTCCCATATGTGATGCAAAACCATTTGAATAATGGATCATTACTTGTCTTCGTCTTCTCCCCGATTGTCCAAAATCTTATAACATCTTCAAAACACAAGCTTGACAGTCAGACTGAGTTACACTTAGTTTTCACGGAAAAGGCAAAGTAATGAGCTGATGCTGTTTGTTTGTTCATTAAACTTTAATCTGTGTCACATAAGAGACTGTAGGCAGGGTTATAGGGACGGATAGCTGGCATCCAGGAAGGCTAGTGGATCATTTCCAAGAAATTACATCAGTTATTTTCTTTAAATGCGGTCTGTTTTACTTACCCAGATCATTTAATCAAAGTTAACTATGGTTTTTACAAAAACCATGTCTATAATTTCTATTTCATTAATGTAAAAAGTGGTCAGAAATGCTTAAAATAAACATAAAACAGTTGTTGAAGTTGAAAGTGGGGGCACCATTTTTTGATTGGGCATTCTAATATTTAATAACAAATCATATGTTTTAAAATCAAAGATTTTTTAAAATCATCATATTCATTATAAATCTCAAGTTTTGTGTTTATTGAATAAAATAATGAGTAAGCTTTGCTTTTTCATATTAATTGTTCAATATTGCATGTACCATAGCTGAGTACAGGCTCTTCAAAATGGCTCAGTGGATCTACAGTTAATGGTAAAAGAAAAAAAACTGAGAGAACTGAATCTGCTTCTGCAAGGGCTTTGGATGAAATGCAATTGGTCAACTAGTCACCAAACTAAGCCTCTTTAAAAGCAAGATTTTTGGCACTTTATTGCTGTCAGGAGCACAGGATTGTTTTCAGTGCCAAGTGACTGTGAGGGGCGGTGCCGTATGTGAGGATGAGCAGTATTGGTTAAGTGGGGATGTGTTCAGGACAAGGGGAAGTGACAGCTACAGCAGCTTAATTTGACATATTGAACCATGGATGGGGAGCAGAGTGACGTTGGTAGTTACACCATGGATAGATCTTTTATGGGGGAAGATTTTTCATTGTAGACGTCACCAGAGATTGAGGGATGCTTTGTGGGTCCATGAGGGCCAGCATCTTATCACTTGTAGCCACTGGCTCCAGACAGTGACTCAGCAATGCCTGAAGCTGGTGAGGCAGTGGAGGACAGGATGACTCGAAACCAAGCTTGCGTCTGAGTGAATCTGTTTGATACCTGAACTCACAGCTACGATGCACCATGTGAACCAATGGGAACATTGCAGTAGCCTCTTTTCAACCCCAGGAGGACAGCACTTGGAATGTTTTAAGACAAATGTTGCAGAACAAAACAGGTTTACATGAAGCTGTGATCTTTTTCCAGGTAGCATTAAATTAGTGCAAAAGAAAGTTGATTATACTTTAAAGTTCATTTTTTTCCAACAGATTTTCTACCAATATACCCAGGACAAGATGTCCCAGCATGTTCACCTAAAGTTGGGCCATGTCATAGCCTTAATATGACCACAAATGAAACAAAATCTATATAATTTATATACTGTTCCACCATCTGTACCTAAGGCGATTGAAAGTACTTCATGGAACATCAAAGACAAACAAAATAAAAAGCAAAAACATGAAATTCTGATATTAGGGACAAACATCAATTCAACCTTTGCATATAAAAGTGTATTATGAAATTTAGGCAGGATCGGGATGAGTCGGTAATAAAGATGACAAACAAATACACACACACACTGTTTCTGCTAGAGTAAAATGTGTTGTTTTATTCCGCCACAGAAAACAGCAAAGCAAGCACATCAATCAAGGCACGGTGCTGAATGCAAATTATATTGCTCCAATACAAATTATATTATCCACCTTACCGTGACACAAAGTAGAGCCAGTCGACCCCGGCACTGCAGCAAACCGCGCAGCTAGGCGTTCGTACGCAACCCTAGCAGAATCTGCCAGTGTCAACCTCCACCCATCATCTATGCCAAACTTCGAAGGAAAATCTTTTGCCCAATCAGGAAAATGATTGCTCCCTCTCATGACTGGAGCGCATGATTACAGAAACCAAAATATGTTTCCGGCATCCTCTGAACCCACCCAGTGCTCGTGGACAGCCAAAACCAAAAACAAGTTACATCATGGTCAGAGCATGGTACCGACAGCTCGTGAGTACAAAAACAAATTATATCATGCTCTCAAGGAAACAGAAACTTGGATGAGAGTGCTTAGGTAATAAGAGTGCTTAATTTGTAAAACTAAACTTGTATGATTGTCAAAGAACATAAAATATAAAACCCATTTATATCAAAAAGGTTAAAGTTCATTGAAGGAGAATAAAGAATGCATGTTATATCTGGAAGCAGAGGTGGGACTAAGTCAGGGTGTTGTAAAAATCATAAGTAAGCCTCACGTCTAGTGAGTCACAGCAGGGCAGAGTTGGTGGACCGTACTCCGTAAGCTAACAGCAGGAGATTTATAATTTTCTCCCTAAGCGTCGCGTTGTTTGATGCTTCATCTTCACTGGTTGTCCTGCAGTTTGATTGGATGGATGCTGTCGGATCAAAACGACATAGATCTAATTTCATTGGATGTTGGATGCTCCCGTACACACAATGATAGATGCAGAGCGCTCTGTTTACGTTCTTTTTAATGTGTGGATTTTGTGGAAAGGAGCAAGTCTAGTCAAGTCAGAAGGATCAAGTCCAAGTGAAGCCACAAGTTATTGATGTGAAACTTCTAAAGTCTAAAGCAAATTCATGACTCAAGTCTGATTTGAGTCCAAGTCTTGTGACTCGAGTCCACATCTCTTTCTGGTGTCGCCTGAAGTAAGAATATACTTTGTAATCAATCTAGATAAAGGATGCATTCTTTCAGATGCTAGGATGCAACTGAAAGAAGCAGCACTTCATAAAGTATAAGATGGAGCCTAAATTCATGGCAAGAGAAACGGAGCATCAACACACACACCTCCTTCCTATCAAGCTCGGGGGCAGAGGGGAGTTGATTTGGAGACGTTTTCCATACACGGGATCATCCTCTGTAGAGTAGAGCATTCTCTAGTGAAACAAGACAGAGTAGAAGATGCTTCAATCGCCACTGCATCTAAAGCATAGAAAATGTAAGCAGCTCTACAATTTAAAAGTAATTTAACATACTAACATCTGTAAAACAACATAGAGCAGTTTTAGCAGCTCTAACTCTTGTATAACAGCAATACAGCACTTTGAGTTAAAACCGTTTAAAAAGACTCGTTAACAGTTTCATACAGCAGTAGCTAGGATGAATGGAGAGAGAAACTGAGCCATTCTTTTGTGCCGAAATGAACATATTTTCAAGAACGACACCACCATGTGAAAACAGACACAGGTCAGTTTGTTTTGTTCCTTAAGTGTAATAAAGAGTGTTTGTCTTGGGAAAAAAAGACAAAAAAATCAGCATGTACAGGGGGTCTGCATTTTAACGTTGGTTTTTGTACCTCCTCCAAGATGGCAGCACAACTAATAAGTGGAGGTATGGATGAGTTGAAACCATGCATATGCATTAAGATGTTCTAATCTAAGGCATTGTGGGTGATAGACTTCCTCCTGAACGCCGGGCGCCTGGGTCTTTACATTCTCTTTAACATTTACAGCCCAAGTTAATTAGCCATTTCTATCCATATCTGGACTCTTGGTTAAAAGCACAATGGCAGATCTACAGAGTGGCTGAAAAAGAGAAGAGATAAGGCCAAGTATATGTAATGACCTGAAAACAAATGAAGTGCAATAAGGAGAGCTTAAGAAAGCTGTACTGAAACATAAGTCTGCAAACCTTAATGATCTGAATAAACATTGCAACGATATTAAAGTTAATAGTTTGATCATTTTATAGAAATGATTACTGGAAATGTTGGCAGCTGTTAAATCATGAAGTGGACCAGATGTTTTCTACATATGGATGGTTTACAGATCTTTCAACTTTGATATTTAGAGACGTTTTCCTTCTCTGTCTTTATACACCTGCAGCCATGGAGGGAGATGGAGAAGTCATCATTAGCCCTGTTCAGAACTGCAGCCACTGTAAAAGCGGTGAATGCCATGAGAACAGCGATGGCATCATCTGTTACTGCGACGAAGACCTCGTCCTGGCCAAAGACGGAGTGTCCTGTATTAACGCCTCAGGTCAGACGCTCCATCCATCGCAGAAATTTATCCTAATTTTCATCCTTTCACAGAAACAAATGGAAATGAGTTTGGCTGATTGTACTTTTAACAGACTGTCTTTACAAATAGAATGAAGCCCACTGGGACTCGGGTTTATTGACTCTCTGTCTAGGGACTTTTTTCATTTAATAAGCCTTTAATCCTCCATGATAATTAATAAATTCTATAAGCTAACTATAGAACAATTAGACTGCTTTTATTCTGCTCTCCCAGAAGAGCCCTTTATGTTATGAGTTTTAAAATCTGAGGTCTCTTCTGGATTCTGAGGTAGTAAGATTGTGAATTGGAAATGAAATATGCTTTGTGATCTAATTCCATGCATAGATCTTAAAGCTACCCACATCAGGAGCAGCAGAAGCTAAATACCACATTGGTTAAACTGCACCGGTTAAACTGGGAATGAGGGATGTAGACAAACACCGGTGAAGATGGATTTGCTTCTTCAAACATAATTTGTAATCTCAGTAAAGAATACATGTCAATCAGAAAGTAATTAGCATGGCTGAGTGTCATTTTATAAATCAGAAACACAATGCCAGGCCTATTAGCATCATAACAATAGTTCTGCGTGCCCTGATCTGCTTGCATTAGGGGCATTAAAAGGCACTGGCTCTGTATGGTCTGTTTGGGTTTGGAGATTTGTTCAGACAACAGAAATTAGAAATACCTTTTTACATGCACCATCCATCGCTGCTTTGCTCTGTTGTGTCATCACTTTCACATCATTAATTACGCTGGAGACGTGTATAGCTCACCGAATGCTGATGCTCCTCAGAGGAAGATTACAAGCGTATGACACTGTTGTCTCCTGTCCTTTCTCAGAGGCGTCCCCGCTGTCTCCACAGCCGTCTCTTTCCCACCTGGCCTTGGGTCTGTCTGTGGGCACGTCAGCACTCATCGCCGCCCTGCTGCTGGTTGTTTCTGGAGTCATGATAAGTACGTACTGACAAACCGTGAGATGTTACGGTAATGCTCTCTCTGTTTACCTACGAGGTTTTGACTTGGATCTGGGAATAATTAACTGAATTCCAGATGTATTTCCTGTGGTTTATGCATCAGTTCCAACATTTTTTTAAGATTGATATCAAACAACGCTATTGGTGTGTGACTGTCAGAGGTTCCAATAAACACTTTATCCCTGCAGCTATTGTTGGATTTTACTTGATTACTTGAGGAAACTGATGTTTAGTTAAGAGTTCAAGCTTCAATGATCTTGTCCGGGAGTTAATCTGACTTCTCGTTTTACACATAACATAGTTATGCCTCAATAATACATTTCCAAATGAGTTTCGAATAACTCTGATTTCCATTTTTCTTTTAGCATTTAAAATGATTTTAAAAAGAGTTTCCCAGACTTTCTGAACATTTGCCAAATTCTTCAAATGCTTATTGACTGAAAAATAATACACATTTTTGTTGAATATTTAGTTACTTTAAATGTGAACTATCAACGTAGTGCCTTTGTTTTATTGTAGAATTTAAAGTATGTGTAATAGATATTTGATAAACTAATTTAACAAATCTAATCTGTTCTTACAGCTGATGAAATACCCCACATGTATTTATATTTTTATTAGGCTTTACGTATTCTATAAATTAAGTATTAAGGTGGGATTCTGTAATCATAGATAATTTGAAATGTAAATCTCAGGTTATTCAGTATATTTTTTATACTTTTCACCAGGTAATTAATTTGGCCCATCATGTATTGTCTATCCTTCATTGTGTGTTAGAATCCAAGGTGTTTCCACACTAAAAAGTTTTTAATTATTAGTGCCGACTTCCTCAGGATGTTTAGTACTGACCATGAATTGACTGATAATTCAGGAGACATTGCAAATTAAAATTGCGTTTCTAAAGTGGAATTTCCAATCCCAACTCCACATCTTTTGTTATATAGCAGTAGAGAAGAAACGTGGCTGTTGCTAATCAAGAACTGGAGCTAGTTTGGAATCTGAGGTGGCTCCACTTCTTCAGTCTCCCAGATGTTAAAATTAAACATTTATATAGTTTCTCACTTAAAAGTCACTGTTGGTTCCTCCTTCAGCCCTTAGCAGATTTCTGAAAACAACAAAAAACAAAGTTCTGTTTTCCCAGTAGGGAAGGGCGTTAAACAGGCTGCTGTTAGGCAATAACAGCCAGACATATGCAGACACTGGACCATTCAAGCCCACTCCCACACTTAGACTTCCACTCTCACATGAGTCAAGGAGGTGCATTTGAACAAGGACAGACTATGTGAGGGATAGCTGCATAGAATGCAGCTGACAGCACTTGTGGATTAGACAGTAGGCAGTAGTTTGTAAATAAACAACTCAAAAAACAAACACTTAGGATTCATCAGACAAGTAATATCTCAGCCTCTTTGAGGCTTTCTGGACTAAAAACTGTCAGATTCAGTGTGTTGGGTCCAGATCAGACAGTTTTATGTAATATTTAGACAGATGGTCTGAGGAAGTCTTTGTATGTTATACGGTTCATATTTCAGAACCAGATTCAAATAGGTGGTTTAATGCTGAAACAGTTTCTATCATCTTGCAGGGAAACCTCAATAACTAAAAAAAGAAACAGAATTTAATTTCACAGTCCTTGTTCTTGAAACGTTGCTCTTTAGGGAAATAACATCCTTAAAAGCATTCCAGCCAGCACAGTGTAGCCGCAAGCAATAATTTTCTCCAAGAGGATCGGTTTCAGGGTTTTGTTTGCCTTCTAAACTGTGAATACCTCAGTAGGGGAATCAAACTCTTTCATTTGTCTCCCACCAGTGTACAGGCGTAAACACACGGAGCTGCAGTCCATTCAGCTGGAGCTGCAGAGTCCAGACTGTAAACTCAGCAAGCTGCGAGCCTCCACCATCATGACGGACTACAACCCCAACTACTGCTTCGCAGGGAAGACGGCAACAGTTAGCGACTTGAAGGAGGTGCCACGGCGCAACATTTCCCTCACTAGGTGAGAAATTCCCTATGGAGTGGAACTAGACTCCCCCCTCCCCTATCAGTTCCCCCCACAGGCTGAAGGTCACCCCCAGCCCCCCTCCCTTCATTAAAGACTTTTTTGTGATAGTAGTTTGGGACTTTTAACATTTAATTAAGCAAAACTTTTCTCTATCAGTTTATTTTCTCATGTAGAAAGGGCTCCTAATGTCTTAATATGATTTAAATTAACTGAGAAGTCGATCATAGGCTACAATGAACAAAGAGTCCTTTGATGGAGGATCGTCCTAGAATGAGATTAATGTCTCATGAATCCCACATGAGAAAATCTCCCTTCAGATAGATAATTTTCTTCATTCTCCTGCAAAATGTTTCTAAATAAAAGGGTGGATGGATGGATGGATGGATGGATGGATGGATGGATGGATGGATGGATGGATGGATGGATGGATGGATGGATGGATGGATGGATGGATGGATGGATGGACTTTATTGCTTCAGTTCTGTTTCTATTTTTCTAATTTTTCCAGCATTATACAATTGAAGGGACACAAATTTTTCACTGCACATTCAGCCATAAGTTGTAATCTTTTATGCCGATGTCACACAAACTGTTGTAAGCATATGTGACAGGACTGTGTGTTTCTTTGCAGGGGTCTGGGTCATGGTGCATTTGGGGAGGTCTATGAAGGTCTGGCAGTAGGAATACCAGGTGAACCGAGCCCACTGCAGGTGGCTGTAAAGGTCAGTCCAAATCCAGATGATCTGGTTAAACAACAGTTTAAAAGCAAAAATGTGAGGTATTTAATATAGAGGTTCAGCTTAGAGGCTGTATAAGGGAAAATAGAACCTTATTTAAAGTATCACAGAGAAAAGCCTCAATAATAACACAAAGTATTTAGTTCTGTGCAAGGATTTTAATTGCAAAATAATTTTATTCACTCCAGACGCTTCCTGAGGTTTGCTCTGAGCAAGATGAGCTGGACTTCCTGATGGAGGCTTTGATTATCAGGTAACTACAAAACACACTCAACCCCCCACCCTGTGCATTAAGCACTACATTTAGCACTATATGAGCACAATATGTTTCCTTCACATGACCTCTGTTTTCCAGTAAATTCAACCACCAGAACATTGTGCGCTGCGTCGGAGTGAGTCTGCAGGCCATGCCCCGGTTCATCCTGCTGGAGCTGATGACTGGAGGAGACCTCAAGAGTTTCCTGAGGGAGACCAGACCCCGGCTGGTAAGATACACCGTTATACCGTACCTTCTTTTACCTAAACAACTTTTTTTCTCTCAGCAATGACATTAAAGTTATGGTAAACGCATCAGACGCCATCACCATTCATCCACTTGCTGAAGTCCCCTCAGGGACTCTTGAAACTCTAACAGCATGGCTGCTAAATGCAGCCAGATGCAAACTGCGTCTCGTCTTTGGTGGTTTACAGGTGGCAAACAGTCTTAGAAATGAAATCCCACATCAGAGAACAGCTTTTTTTTTTTTTTTAAGGCAGGCTTTCTGTCGACATCTTCTGCTTTAAGCTTGGATGGACATGTACAGGCATGGCCCAGATACCACTACCATTTATTTTTATTCTCAGTCTTTGTGTGGAAACACTGAAACCCTGCCAGGTCGAGCTGCTTCCCCTTTTCACATTTACAGTCAGCTGATGTGGTTCCAGGCATTGGATAAGACGCATCCTGCAGATCAGTAATGCAGGGAATCAACGTTGATATTTCTCGCTCAAGGCAGCTGACACTGAATGAAGTCCTGCAATTTTCTCACCATGATGCCCTGATGCCTGCTCTAGTATTGATTAACATTCCAACTGCTTGCTTCTCATTTATTTTCTACCCAGAAAGAAAAAAGGTCATTTTGTATTTAATGTCCATCTAAAGTTCTCTTTATTCTTTTCCTTTTTCTGCCTCCCATCTGATGTTTTAGGACCAGCCGTCCAGTTTGACCATGATAGACCTTCTCAACGTGGCCAGAGACATAGCTAAGGGCTGCCAGTATCTGGAGGAGAACCAGTTTATACACAGGTACTTCAACAGATTATACCTGCTTGCTATGAATAGAGAACCACAGAACTTATAGATCGTGGTTCAGACTTAGGCATAGAAGGTTGTGCTCATTCACCAAGTTATATAGATTCAGACTCAACTGCATCCGTTTTACAGCAACATATGGACTCTGTACGCATCGTGCCTTCTGTATGATCAGATAAATGACCAGTAAGGAGTTTAGAGAGAGAGCAGCCAGATGGGGCAGCCGGCTTGTGTTTTTAAGGTCTATATCTGACCCACGAGTCGGAGGAGCAGATCTGCAGTAACTGCTCTGTAAAAGATAAGAGGACACATGTGAAGAAGTTCTAAAAAAAGTTCCACTTGAAAATCCCCCTCTGCATATCTAAAACGAGTAAAGGTCAATGCTGGTTCTACGTTTTTATTGAGGTGATGTATTAGGATCTTCTTTTGGACTTTTAAACATTATCCACTGACAAACTGAGCCTATTAAACCTTGTTTGGCTCAGCGTGGCCCAGTGAAGCTATATCAATCCATCTAATGGCTGACTCTTTAAATATTCTGCACAACCCAATCTTCTCCCTTCAAAGCTGTATTAAAATTGCCCCAACTTCTGTCCTTGAGGCTTATTGCAGTTTTATGAAGGTGTGTTTACTCGAGGTTGAGCAAAGAGCTCTGAATGAACAGGGCTTGTTTTTCAGGTGGATTAAAGGCTTGAATCCTGAGCTGAGCTGAGCTTCTACGAGGTAACTCACAGGGTTAATGCTGTCTGAAAACAACTTAATCTAGCTTTTATGTTTGTTTTCCCATTTCTATCCTCTAAATGACCAATGGATCATGGAGGGCTAGTTTATTTAGCTTTTTTTTTTCATTTAATACCAGCTTCTCACTCACAGGAAGGAAAAGCCGATTTAACAGAAGGTTTACAGTAACCTCACTTGTGTGAAATTGATATAACAACAAAATGTTCTGTAAGATATGCAGAGGAAAAGATTTTAAAATCACAAATATACTGTTAAAGTCAGCTGAATATGTTTATGTAAAACTCTGCCCTAACCTGACAGACATGAGTTTGTGGCAGCAGCTGCTGCATTTTAAAACTCCTACTCGCCTCCAAGCAACACATTTCCATTCCATTCTCCTTGATCATTATAGGAGGACTACTCAGGTGTAGATATAGCCCCTCACTCCCTCGATGGCCCTTTCCAGAGGTTATATATAAGGTTTGAATGGATTCATCAGTTTGATTTGAGTGACTGCATTCGGTCATTTAAACACCTTGCCTTATTTGTCTCTTCTTTATGTATTTTCAAACATCTGAGGTAATGCAGTAGGTATAGTTACAGGAACTGACACAAACCATGCAGCATAACAGGCCTTGTATAAAGCAAAAAAAAAAAACAGTCAATGTGATAAATCAGAGTAAGATTTGAAATTTAGGTGAAGGCATATGGCTTCAAGAAAGAGCTAGAGAATCAAAATATGGATCAAAGCTTTTCTTTCTTCAATGTTTGTCAAATTTGGTCCATAGTAGAGATTTCAGATCTGAATTCTTTGTGTTCTCCATCATCAATATAGCAAAGGTTGGATATGTTTGTGTTCTTTTTCTATGTTTCGTTTTAAGATAATTATTCACAGTTTAGCTTGAAGGTAAAAAAAAAAAGTTATTTATTGACGCAAATCATATTTCAATATTTCGATGTAATTACCAGTAGAAGCCTTGTCCTTGAAAAATGACAGCATTTGTTTTTTATTTACAGAAACAAGCAAATTTACCATTTCTACTCTTAAACATTAAGTGTGATAAAATGTCAAGGAACCGTCAGGTTCTATTCAGGCATGGAGCTAAGAGTTTTAGAGAAAGAGACTTTGATTAAAACCCCCGGAGGGGTTCAGCTACCTGAGAAACACCAAAATAGTGTTTTGCGTCAGACAGCTTTCTGCTGAATAGCAAAGATGTGTAGAGAGATGAACAAGATGCAGAGTTGTTTCAATAGCGGAGTTTCTGAACAAGAAGCTGAAGAACAAATTGATGCCTTTGAATCACTTCTTGTTTTTTGATGAATCGCTTACGGTCAGATTCTTCGTCTTGAAGAACCACAAGCTGAATAGTTTGAGACCTTTCTGACACCCTGAAGTGGGAGTCTCTGTTTTAAGAAGCCATCTGTTCACATCAGGCTGAACCAGAACTTTATCCTCATTGTGTCATTTCTCATCTAACAGAATCAGACTCCAATGTTTCTTTCTGCTGTGGCGTCCATCACTGCGATTTATTCCGTTTCTTTCCCTTCCTGTCTCATGATTCGCTCTCAACCGGGTGTCACACGATGTCGCCATGGTAACTTATTTGCCACTGCTCTGTATGCTCACTGCATCACTCCTTAAAACTTAAAGACGGTTAGGTGCCTGGAGGAGTAAACTGCAGTGTGTGTGGGCTCTGCGAGTACTCTCCTTAAAGATTCACTCTGTGCTGTGCAAATAAGCGACTCCCTCTCTAAGCTGCTTCTCCCTGCATGACTCTGCAGCATTTATAACCAGAAGCTGCAAAATGGCAGCATGCTCAGGGCGAGACTAAAGTTCAGATCCAACAGGGGACTAACTGGGGGTTTCATACACCAGGCTTTGTTTTTTAAAATATAAATGCATGAAAAGAACTGCTAAACTACAGAAGATATGAGGCATAATTCAAGCTGTGCTGATGCTCAGCAGGGCTCTCTCCTCTGCTCACTGCATCCCCAGTTGTTCCATCCAGTAATGTGGGTGCATGCAGCGATCTAATGATGCTCTTTTTTTTTTGCTTTCAGGGACATTGCAGCTCGGAACTGTCTTTTGACCTGCAAAGGACCGGGACGTGTGGCCAAGATCGGAGACTTCGGGATGGCTCGGGACATTTACAGGTACATTTCCAACACTGTTATCTACAGCAGAACGATTCCAATTTTTCCCTCAGATTAAACAGAAAACTTCTAATAAAGAATAAAAACTAAGTACCTACCACATCAAAAAAAAAAAATTCGGTAGACATACTGGGCCTCCTGGTTGTCCCTAGCAACCCAAGTAAATTTTAGGTGTTTCAGAGTGGAATGAGATTGATGTGTTTTTAGGTGTTGTGGTTTGCTGTCTTCCTCCAAAAAGCACATTTTAATCTTTGTCTTACCTGAACGGTCTATCCTCCTTGTAATTTATTCAAGGCTCACTTTCAGTAAGCTTCAATGCTTCTCCTTCAGCAGTGGAGTCTGATCAATGGTGGCTCTTTTCATGGGTAAACTGTACCTGCTAGCTGCAAGTCCTTCTGACCCACTCTGTGATTGGTCATTGGATCTTGGACAAGTTTCAGATTTTGTTGGATTCAGTCAGAAACCTTGCAAGAAACTTTGAATCTTTGCTGGTTTACTGCAAAATAATGTTCTTTCCACTGCTGGTTGGGGCTCACCTACAGTAACTGTGGGTGTAACTGCGCTCTCTTCAGCATGTGTCCAACATGGATATGTTATAAGTCATAATATAACTATTTGCTTTAACCAGTCCAAACATCCTTCTTGCATGACATTCAGGATTTCTAGTATTTTAATGTCTAAGCTGGTTTTCTTTGATTTAATTTCTTTAGATATTTAGATTATTTGAGTCTGAGCTGCATCAGATGTGACTTTCATGTCAATGAAAGATTAGAAATACATTTACTGAGGTAATAAACCTGCTGTTTTCTGTTGAAAAAAACTGACATCTACGAGAAAAAAAAAACATTTAGGTAATTTCTTCCCTGAACTCAGCATGATTTATTTCCAACTCTTGCTCATTGCTAGTTTTGCTCCAGTTGTGAAATGCATTCACAGAAACTGTTAAACCGCTAAATACAAGTAACATAGCACTTTTAGAATAAGGACAGTAAGACCCTTCTGTGATGTGTCGACACACCACTGGTTTTATTATTGACATTAGATACTGTGTTGTTGTGTGAGTGGTGCAAAACAACATATCTACATTCATTAAATGGTTTCTAATTAACAATTAGTATAAAATGTGTCTTATTCTAACACTGTTTAATGTGTATGTGATCATTTTATTACTAATAACCCCAGTGAAGTTTACTGGAATTAAAAAACCTAAATCTAATAAACAGCATCTAAGTTTTTCTTAGTGTGGATTTTCTCTCTAGTAAACATTTACTTGTTAATGCTCAGTAGTGTTTTTCATCCCACCCATCCCATCAGCTCCTCTGTCGTCTAACAGCATCTAATTATTCTGAAATTGAAACAAACAACTTTACATGATGAAGTTTAGATGAAAGCCGAAAGCAGCAGGGAGTTCCTGAAATGTGTGCAGAGGGAATCTGTCGGCGCATTAACGTCCAATTTCTAAATCTTCTTAAGGAGAAGTCACCTTTCTATCAAATAAAGCAAATACAGCAAGCCTGAGGAGAGGCATTAAGAGGGCTTGGTGCAATTACTGATGAGTCCAGGTTCAGGTCATCTTCCTGGTGTCTCTAACACCTTAAGGATCCTTGATTTGATCATTTTGGACAAATTAACTGTGATATTATTATTTTTAGCCAATTGGTGATGTGGTCCTACAGCTTTCTGCCAGGAGACACAGTAAACTGTTTCCTAGGTAATGGCTGGGGACAAGTAGCACACTGAGAGATGGAGGCATGGGTGTACTGGCACCAATGCAAAATACAAACTCTGCAAACAAGCTGACTCAACCTCAGATGTGACCTTTCATCTAGGATTTGTGAATTAAAATTTCAGATTTACTTTAATAAACCATCAAGCAGCCTCCCATTAGATTATATAAGATTTTAGGTATGAATATTTAGTTGTGTTTCTCTGAACCCGGTGCTGTTATAATAAGAGAGAGTTCTCAGAGTAATGCGAAACAGAAATCTTTGGTAATTAATTAGTTACTCAGGCTCTAGTTCTCCCCCAATTTAGAACCCGTCAGGATGCGGCCTGCAAACTCTGTCTGCAGCAATATGCAACAGTCAACAGAGGACCTACACAGAGAGATAAAACAGGAATTTGGACCAGCGTAAAGCTCCCTGCAGGATGTTACAGATATAAACGCAGTGATGAGTAACAGAAATTCATCTTTTAGAGGAAATGAACCGTCAACATGTTGTAAAGCCAACAACGTTGTAAAGTCTGATGGAGAGGAACCCAAACACGGTATATTAGCACAGAACCTTAAGTACGGAGGTGGAAGGATGATGGTTTAGATTTCATTAGTAGTTGCATGGCCTGTGCACCCTGCAGTCATAAACCTTGAACTATTTGAGTGTTTGAGTAGATTCTGGTCAACTGAGAGACATGAAAGTGATGAAGCTATATTGGAGGAAGAGAAGAGGGTCAAAGATCCTCCAAAACAATTACAGAGAAAATACAATTGACTGGAAAGACGGTTTTACAGGCAGCTGTTTTAAAGGGATGTGCCTAATTATTTCCTTCTCACTTTTTCCATTTTAAGGCAAACACTTGGTTCTGTTGGTTAGCTTTTTGATGTTTGACGCAAGATTTAAATCATATAAAGACTAGATGGTTCACAACTCTCAGAAAAAAACATTAGAATGTAAACAGGGTTTGTTTTCCTTTTGACAAGCATGTAGGTGTTGATCATGTACATCATTATCTGACGGCAGAGAAGCAGGCTGGAGTTTTAGAGCTACAGGTGTTTGCCACCTTATCATTTCTGTCCAGCCTGCCTTTACCTCCCACAGCGTTTTAAGCCAAATGCATCTTTATCCTCCAGCTTCAGAGTTACACCAACAGTAACACACAAGTATAAAATGCTTCTGGTTGAACTTTAGGTTGCCTGAGACTATATTTAATCCACCTTAATCTGCTGCTCACTTTTTAACTCTGTCGATAGTGAACAGGCTCTCAAGCTCAGTGAAACAGCCTCCATCAAAACATATAACCGTTCTCTAGAACAGATAAAGCAATAAGCTGCAGAGATCGATGTTCAGCAGCAACCTTGTTATTTTCACTCTTCTTCTAAAAGAAGACATTGAAAAGGCCACATTAACATATCGGGATGACTGTATGTGTTTGTTTGAAGCTTCTTTGTTATTCTTTTATACCGATGGACGCTGAAATTAGAGGAGCACAAAGAGACATGAAAACAAGATGGTAGCTGCTTCCCGTTCTGTAGTTGTGAGGCTAAACATGCTGCTTTGAACCATTTCTCATCACTGTCGGGGACATTTTACTATAAGTGAAAGATTAAGGAGCTGGGTGAATAAGTGCCCAGAAGGAGCTTTCAGATACTCTGTCAAGCAAACAGAATCTGTTAGTGATTGTCTTCTCTGCTTGATTGGGTGATTCTCCACAGCTGATGGTATAACTGTGTGCTTCCCTTTTTTACTCTATTAGCAGACTTCATGTCATCTACACTTATTTCTTCTTATTGATCTTCTGAAGACCAACAGTTAACTTTAAATTCTAAGCATGCTATTGTAATGAAGCCAGGTTAGGGTCACTATGGACTAAAAGCAGGTTGGATACAAATGAAACTGTTTTTATTTAATTTCCAGGGCCGTTGCTCAGCTTCAGATTGAACATATTGCATGAATACTGCATGTCTTATTAAGCCCCCTGCAAACACTGAGTTTAACATTTGGATTTAATTAGATGTGTGATTTTTCAACGCATCCAGCAAAGTGTTTTTCCTGAGGTGAAAACAGCTTTGACTCTCGTTTAGACCTGAACCCCCAAGAATCCAACCATGTTAATCATAAGATTTTTATTCATTTTTAAATGCCATGTGCTCACACACGAGCCTTCGATTATACATTATTCATATGTTTACGGCCCTGTTTGGTAAATTCAGCATTGTTGTCAGATAAAAAGTAATTTTTTAAGATAAGCATCTTGAAGCAAATATACATTTTTATATTAGGATGTTTCTGTATCAAATTGTAACGTTTAACACTGTTTTCTGCAATGGTGGTCTTTATTTGACAGTTGCTGGATGGTAGATGGGAGTAGAGAGAAGGTCTTTGGGTTAATCCTAAAGTTGGTAAAGCTGTGCCGACGGCCGAGACTTCTGAATAAATGTTGGAACAATCTGCCCTTTAAAGCATCAGTCTGTCAGTAATCAGTCTACATACAGTGATGAGCAAAATACCACCAAAATTTAATATATTTGTCCATAAATAAAATGTCCATAGCTGTATATTGGTTATTTATCCTCCAGGTGCACAGTTTTTTTTTTTTACATTGTTAAAACACTTACTTACGTACTGTAAACTCTTCAATATTATGTTATTCTTTTACATTTTTTAAGGTGCATATTTGTGTGACCATTTTTTCTATAATCTTTTTGCTGCTGTAAACATCAGAGTTTCCACGTTGTGCGACAATAAAGGGATTTTCTATTCTATTTTATATTTCATATAACAAGTTACCCTTGTTAGTTTCTTTGCATTATTACCATCTGTGTAAAGTAATAAATTACTCATTACTTTTTAGCTACTTTCAGCAAAATAAACATTTAAAGCCAGACATCATAAAATGAAGGTGCATAATAATTTGCCATACCTAAAAGTAATGATATAGGATAAATTAAATTGAATATATAGTAGACATTTTAAACATTCAGTAATAAACAGAGGATGGTATGGGGGGAGGGTCATTTTAGAAGGGGGGGTGATTTTTAAGATATTTTTAAGAAGAGGGATGCCATCCTCCTCAACTCGAATACTGGTTGTAGCCATCTTGCTTTCTTCTTGAGAGCAAGACGTTTTTTAACTGATTTTAAATAGATTTTACCAATTCTGCAAAAAATATCAAACAAGAAAGTTATTAATGGTCTTATATTGATATACTTTAGGCTGTGTGTATATTTTGAACTGTGTGCATCAAATTGAATGCAGAATAAATTCAAAGTTGAACTTGAACTGCTTTAATCAATAATGGGACATGAAATCTGATGTCCACATTAGCTTCTCAGAGGATTTATTCTAGCTTCTATTGCTTCTCACTTAATCATTTCATGAATAAAGTTTTTTTTCCTCCTTTAAAAGTTTCATCCAGCTGAGTTCTTAGCTCACGTTGCGTCACGTTAACACCTGGGAGCTTCCTGCTGTAATAACAAATCAGTTGTGGGCAGCTGTGAGATGTAATGGCAGAGCTTTACTTTTCCCCAGGATGAAAATGCTCCTGCAGCTCCTTTACCCATCCAAAATCTCATAGACTACAGCTGGCAGACGCCCAGCCCTCGTTGTCTCGTTTCTCATCAAGAGCTTTTCTGTGTTTATGGAGCAGTGTTTGGGGAGCAAATTGACATTTTTATGGCAAAATTAAATGCCAAATTGATTTACTGCTCTGCAAAAGCAAAAGATGCCAAACAAAGCCAGCTGCGACACTACAGACCATAAATCCTCAGGCGTTCCCTTTTATTTATTTTTTTACTTGGGCACGGAGTGGCAGCCCCTCACATCTGTGCTCGCTCTGCGCTATAAAGCAGGCGGAGACCTCGATAAGCATCAAAAATCAGATATAGCCTTGATCAGATCATTTCTTCAGCCGTGCGATGAATTAGAAGCGGCTCGCGGGGAGATAAACTGACTTTTTTTAATCAGGGTCATAAATTAGGTTTTTGACAAAACATAGAAAATACAATCTGTTAAAACTTTAATGACTAGTGGTGGTGTTACTCAAATTACTACAGATGAAATTAACAAAGAACATCACTTTTAAATTACTTAATTGACGTTAAACCTTTTTAACTCATCCGTGATAAGCATTTTACTAAATAACAGAGCAGCATTTTGTTGTCATTAATTATATCCAACATTCCTGAGGGATCTTAGCCTTTATCTCATGACCAAATCCTTCCAGCTAATTGATATTTTGGGGTTTATATGATGCCGGCTTTCAGGAGAATTATTCAGGCAGCACTGATGGCCAATCTAGTATTTCTAGATAGCTAAACTTCAGCTTCCTCACAGACAGCAGGCTATTTTCATTGCTAGAAAGGGCAGATTAGACAAGAGCATTACTAAGCCACCACCATGCTTCATTCTAGTTATTCCTTTCACTCCAGACATGCCACTCTCCCATAATCCCAAATTCCTATCTCTCTTTCCCTGGTTTACTGGTGGTTTGGGGTCTTTAGTGGTTAATCTCTTGATGCAGGCCAGTGGTCTCAAACTCTAGTCCTTGAGGTTCGTGCAACTTTTAGATGCCTCTACATTAACATGCCTAACACATTATCCAGGAAACATTATCAGTATCGACAGTCTGGTGTTTGTGGTGTTTAATCTTAAGCAGTAAATAAAATCGGTTGATTAGTTTGTGGAGAACATGCCTGGTTTTATTCAGTGGGTTGAATAATTTTAAAACTGAAGTGGTAACTGGCTGAGGTATTTAATAATTATCAATCCACTTATTGTGCAGATCTGAACAATAACTAATTTTGTCACTAAACCAATCTTTCAGTGGTGGTTGATTTATTCTAACACCGGCAGTAGAATTTCCTTTCTGGTGATCCAAATCCCACAAAGAAAGGCCATGGCTGCCACCGTTTTAACTAAAATCTGAATGTTCCTTTCAAAATATTTCTTTGTGCAGGGCGAGCTATTACAGAAAGGGTGGGCGAGCCATGTTACCAGTGAAATGGATGCCACCTGAGGCCTTCATGGAGGGCATCTTCACTTCTAAAACGGACACATGGTGAGTTTCATGCTCAATTGTAACTAAATTTGCCTTTAGCTCATCTCCTGTATATCTGATGTTTTTCATCCTTTAAGTTTTGATCTGTCTGTAATTTAAGCGTAAATCATTTCTGCCATCACAGGTCATTTGGTGTGCTGCTGTGGGAGATCTTCTCTTTGGGCTACATGCCGTATCCAAGTCGCAGCAACCAGGAAGTCTTGGAGTTTGTTACCAATGGTGGGAGAATGGACCCGCCTAAAAACTGTCCTGGGCCAGTGTAAGTCCATTACGCTGCTTCTTCATCATTTCATTAGGCTTTATACATGATACGGACCTTTTTTTAGGGATCAAACACAGAAATATAAACTCCAATTCAATAACATACATAAATAGAGAGAGAGGTATAAATTAAAAATTAATATAAATACCATTTCGACCTGAGTTTTAAAACCTTTGCAGACTAGTTTAGCCCATCCTGCCATCCTCCATACTTACTGCAGCACCCAGAGTGTAAGTTGCTTTAATTTCCCTCCCCTGTACATTATAAAAGTATTTATATACCCTGAACTTTTCACATTTAGCACCTGTTTCTGACATTCTGAAGGACTGTGAAGTAGAAGAAAACCTGAAAGGTTTGGATGTTGAGTGGAATCTGTGAATATAAATGTTCAGGTCTGGTCACTGATAAGCTTTTAGGTTTAGCTCTGTTTTTTGACTGGACCATTCTAACACATAAAGGTGCCTCAATCTAAACTGTTTAGCTCTCGCTTTATGTTTAATATTCTCATCCTGAAGACTTTAGCTGCCTTTCACAGGTTTCCTTCCAGGATTATTTAGCTGCACCACCTACAAACTTATTTTCCACCGCTATTTGGCCTCCCCTTGAGCTGTTGATCTCTTCTGCTCCTCCAGAGTTACTAAGAAACTGTTGGCTCCTTTTCATATTAATGCGCATCTTGTCCAAAATAACAACTTCTTGTCTTTTCAGTTGGTCCATCCTCTTTCACATTTAGTTCACAGACTGAACAAAGTTTCTATGTTTTTGTAACGTCACCTCGCTTTAAACATCTCACCTCATCCCTGACCTGAATAGTTTGTTCCTTCCTGCCAGTTTCGTCCATTCGACTTGTTCATCTGGTGTCCTCTGACAGCAATCGATTGGACTACACTTTATTTAGGGGTCTACGATACTCTGTGTTTGACTAGTAGATGAACTCTCATTAGAAAATATTTGTATGTATATGTATTATAAACAATCTTATTAAGTAGTAGTTCCGAGCTCTTTCGATGATTGACTTATTTTAAATGAACTCATCTGACCTGACCATGGTAGCTTTTTGTAGCAGGTCCTTTGAAGGAAATAAAGGAAAGATTAAATAGAAACTGTTTTTTCCTTCAATCCCTGTTATTCCTGTGTGTTTTGTTAAATGAACCGAATAAATGAAGCTAGAGAGTTTCTGTTCTCTGGAGCTCCACAGAAGGGTTGATTAATTAAGTAATTCCTGCTCTATGTTTTAGGTACCGGATTATGACCCAGAGCTGGCAGCATCAGCCTGAAGATAGACCGAACTTCTCTACTATTCTGGAGAGACTTGACTACTGCTTACAGGTGAAGCAAATCATTCAATTATTCAATTGGTTATACAAAGTAGAATAAAGAGTTTGCAAACCTGTTCTTAGCTGTGATAAATGAGCTTACTCATGACAAAAATCTATATTTTGTTCTTCTGCTTCTCCTTGTGTGTTTGATGGGTTTATGTGATCACCTCATACATGCACACGTTAGTAAAACTAAATATGATTGGAAAATCTATTCAATAAAATTTACACTGAAAACAGTGTTACGTCATTTTTAAGCTGTTATTTCCATTAGCTTTAAATATATTTGACATACAGGCAAGAAAAACCCTCAACTAAATTTTTGTTCCTTTTTTTTTTTTTTTATGGAAAACTGTGTTTTTAATCACAAAAAGTACATCCCCCTACTGTGCTAAATATGGAGTCAGTGACTGGTTGGGGCTCGTTTGCCATGACTTACTTCACCAAAGCAGATCAGTATGTAGTTCTGATGTGGTAAACACAGGTCAGCAAGAATTGATTCCTCTTACAGCCTGCTTTAAGCCCGATATGTCTGGTAGTAAAAAATTATGTCATTTAAGCACTTAATCAGAGCTAGGGTTGCATCTAAGTCTAATGCCGCTGGATTAGTGATAGCTCATAGGTTTGAAATTATAAAAATATAAAAGTCTTTTATGATTTAGCCCATAAATAACACTACAATCCACATATTATTTAAAAAAAAAAAAACCCTTAGAAAGAAATGACCGTCTCTCTTGGTTGGCGGGAAGAGGCTTTGAAATGTTGAGAACAGCTGTGTTTTCTGCTTCTACATATTGTGTGGAGCTGTAGGCCTGCAATCTGCGCACCCACCTAGAATCGGACAGAATATTAGATAGAAGAGGAAAAGCATGGAGTATAAAATCTGCAGTAGTTATGTCCACATTTCTCATTTTCACTTGGATCATTATCTGCATAAAGCATAACTGAACAGCGGGCTGCTGGTCAGATAAACACAGTAATATAGAGTTTATTAAAGCAATTAACATACTTTTTGCAGTGTGGGCAAAAACAGTGGAACAACAACAACAGATTATATGGCTCCAAATCCACTGCCTTCGGGAAACCTACCTCAGCCAAATTGGATTTAGGCTCACTACTCTTTCCATAGATTTTTGATTTCCAAATTAAATGTTAAACCTACTTTCATTGAAGAGAGTGCATTAAACACCTTAAGAAAAGGCTAACTCGTTTATTTTTTTCTTAGATCAGGTAAAACAGTTCTGATGTCAACTCTGCTTCAGGACTGTTGCCTGTGAACCTTTTCCTTCCACTTTATTTCCAATTGGAAACAGCAGCCATTGCTTAAAAAATGCCTTTTGTGGTTTATCTTTGTAAAGGGAGGCAAGGACTGTCTGCTGAACTACTGTCAGATCAGCTGTCTTTCCTAAGATTATTACTAAAATTATTCTTAGATCATTATTAGAGAAAATTTTCAGATTTCTAGTAATAAATAATAATAAAAACTCAAAGTGTTTCCCTTTGCATGTAAGGAAACTGTTAATTTAATTCCTAAAACCCCATTTCTAATGAAACTCCAATCGATTCATCATGTACTCATCACTTCCAGGACTACAGCTGTATAGAATTCAGCAGGCTCAGCGTGCCGAGGAATTCTACAAACATTTGTAAAAGCTCAGTGTGTTCCCGGCTGGTGTTGTGATAGGAGGCAGTCTGCACAATGAGTTCAGTCATGAAATTTTATTGCTACTATATATTTCATAGTCAGCTGTGAAATATAATGGTGAGGGGTAAGGAGTTTAAGAACCAAAGCAACTCAGTCTCAAACAGGTAGGCTGTGTAAAATAACAGACTGTGGATAGTGGATGCTGAGGCGCAGAGTTCACCAAAAGCTACAGCTCTCCAAACATCATGTGGCCTTCAGAACATCTGGAAGCCTCATAGAATGGGTTTCTATGGTAACGCAAAGTGTGAGATCCAGTAAAGAGGTGATTTCTGGTGGGATAAATTATTTGTCTCTCTGATAATCTGATGGACAAGTCACGGTCGCTTCATTCAAGTGAAGGAACTGCTAAAGCTTTAGCACATAAAGACACTGAGGTCGGCCTATTGTTCAAACCGCCCATTATTTCATAAAGCAAAGTCCTTGAGAGATGGATGGTGACTTTGGAGTAATAGAATTTGATATTTCTGACCTTAGAAAAACCAAAAACCTTGGGAATGAAACAGTCCAACACAGGAGCTGAAGAATGGCCTAAAATGGTCAAACCCTTCTAATGTTTGTGGAAACCCATCGTAGAAGAGTTGCTTGCAGCCATCATAGCTACCATTGGTGGGTGTTTGAAGCCAGATGAGCAAATATTTTTGGCAACACAGTGACTGTCACAGTTACAGAGTCGCTTGATATTAAATATGGATCGTCAGCCAAAAATATCTCAATAATTCAGCCCATTAACTCAGTTTTAGGAACATATGCCAATATTCACTGCCAGAGTTTCTGCATGCATCACCCATCTGAGAGTTCGATGAATGTTAATGAAGCCAAGCTCCCTATGTTGTATAGTATAAACTGCCAATAAATGAACAATTTAAACAGGATTTTTATCGACTCATTTCAGGACCCTGATGTTGTGACCATGACTCTGCCTATTGAGTATGGGCCCATTCCTGAGGAGGAGGAGCAAGCTGCAACGCACCCCGAGGAACCCCTGGTTCTGCTGAATGCACAGGTGCCTGATGGAGAACCTTTGCAGCAGCAGCAGCCCCCATCCTACCCAGCAGAGGACCGGAGAGGAGGGGAGCATACAGCTTTACCCGGGGCACCACCGCAGGCTAAAGTGCAGGCATCTGTTCCGTCTCAGGCTTGCATTCACCAGCCTCAAATGCAGACCTCTGTGACGACAACTAACTCAGTCGCCACTACAGCTCCGTCGTCTCTCACTGCCAAGGGACCTCATGCTACAGCCCAGCCAAGCTCAGAGGGGGGGCACATTAACCTGGCTTTCACCCAGGGTCACCAACAGGAGAAGGACGCCCACGGTGGAAAAAACACCAGTCTGTGGAATCCCACCTACGGCTCCTGGTTCCTGCAGCAGCAGAGGAAGCAGCAGCAGAGGCAGGGAGGGGTGGGAGGGCCTGGGGGCAGCGTGGGCAGGGTGCCCGGCGAGGGGCAGGAGCACGTTGGCCGGACAGTGGCCGAAGTGGCGGGCTCACTGGGTCTCCAGCACCAGCACAAGCAGTTTCAGCATCAGCTGCAGCAGCAACACCAGCTACAGCTGCTGCACCATCAACAGCAGCAGCAGGGTCTCTGCAGGCCGCTGCTGCCTCCCCCACCCCCTCCTGCTGCCCAGTCACCTCTGCTCCTAGATTCAACAGCCTTGCCCCCAGTCCCCCTGTACCGACTGAGAAGATTCCCCTGTGGGAACATTGGATATGGCTACCAGGAACCAAGCCTGCCACTGGACAGCAACCCCCCTCTACCCCAGCAAGGCACCTCTGTACCATCCTCTGCAGGCCACCAGAGAGGGGCCCCCATGCCAACTTCGATGACCCTGGGCCGCACAGGCATGTCTGAGGACAGCCGGCCACTGCTCGTTACCATGGGGACAGTGCAGGACACAAGGCTGCCCAGGATGGAGGGCCACAATGCCACTGTGCTTTAGCCCTGAGGCATGAATGTCCCTCAGTTTTGGTTCTTTTTAATCTCATGATAGAACCCCTCTCTAAAATGGGCCTTTCACAGGACACTATCCTGGAGACCTTAAGCACATAAAAAAAGCTTTGAGAGGTGGAAAAAGAAGAAAATACAGAGTAAAAGAATTTTAAGTCTTAAAAATGTATTTTTTCAATGCAGAGAGTAAACCAAGGAATCGTGTGAAGAGTTTGACTTCCTGTATGTGTGTGGACAGAAGGACGGACGGACACTCTTTATTTTACCAGCCGGATACGTTTAAGGCAAGTTTTGGTGGCCCGTTGCCGCAGGAAGAATTGCAGAACCAGAACCATGGGGAGCACAGTACAGTCAAGGACTTATCAGAATATTTTTCAAAAATCTGAGACTGGATTACCAGAAAAATTTATACTGGTAAAAACAAAATCAACAACAAAAAAAAAAACACTGGAGGATTTGAAAAAAAAAAAAGTGTTGATGTCTTGCTTGCCTGCTTGTTTATTTATAAATTCATTTATTTATTATTTGAAGGTGGCAGTATAATTTATTGATGAACACCTTTTCAAATCCAAAACATCTATTTTAGTTGTTTTTTGGTTTGTTTTATTTGCTTTCATATATTTTATCAGTGCAGAGCAAAAACATACCCCCCACCCCCCCAAAAATGTAACTCAGGTTACAAGATTTGTTCTTTAAGGTGGATTTAAAGAACAAGAAGCAGATCTTCAGGAGTTCCACTCACATCTCTTAGAAACTTCACTGTTAATCTGTTAAATATTTGTTTTTTCTCTACATATTGAACCCATTGTTGTTGATGGATTGATCTTGTACTCTTAATTTAATCTCAGATTTGTATATTTTATCCCTTATTCTATCCCAGGAGACTGTTGTGGAAAATGAAGGCGTGAAAATGTAGCTTTTTGCTTCACATGTGGACAAAACCCCAGTTTCGCTTCTATTACCGACTCCGTCTGCTTCTCTCTGTTCTGATTGGTTATCGATATTGAAGTGAAAGACTATTTTTAATGCCTTTGCTTTGACGGTATTTGGGCACAGGTCAGTCCACGAGCTGTCACCACGTTCTGTATTTAAAGTTTTCTATTGGCTTCTGAGTTACTTTGCCTCGTCTCCAGTGCCGCTGTTGAACCACTTTCACTCTGTGTTCCTCTTTTCACGGCTCACCTGTCGTTTGATGTAGAAAACCCAACCGCAAATGTAAATGTTGTAGAATTATAAAGTATTGTACTCTGGCTCTGGTAAAAGCTGTACATTGCCCCTTCAGAAAACATCCGCCAAAATTAATAAATTACTATATAAATGATTGTGTGTCTGCTGCTTTATGACTATAATATTTGTAACAAATCATTTGGATGCAAACCATAACTGAGCTGGTGAGGTTCTGAGACTTTAAACGGACATCTTAAAAGAAGTGGCAGCTGTATCAGGCAGCAACTGAATGAATAACTCTACTTCAGAAAATCCGGTCAATTTACAACTTTAACACACACAAATGGTATGCATAATTATTGATATATGTAATCATATTATATGTAATCATTTAGTAAAAAAAGGGGTACAAAGTGAAACTATAGTTAATTTTTTCTTGAACTGAGGAGGTAAGTGAGACACTTTGACAATGGAAAAACATAATTTACATTTAAAATAAGAAAAAATAAGTGCATTGTCTTATTTCAAGAACATATTATCTAATTATCTTATTTTAAGTTTGAAAATACTCAATTGATTGGAAATCTTATTTGCCCACTCAATTCAAGATTAACAACACTTAGTTGAAGAAATCTTTTCTTATTTCTAGATCATTTTTGCCATGAATAAGTTCATACTACCAAGAAGTCCATTAGGTGAGAAAATCAGTTTATGTACATATCAACAGGTAAACATTCACTCATGAAAGTTATTGCAAAAATCTGTATACAACCATCTCCAGTGACAAAGAGCTCCCATCAGTGCTTACCGACCTTCTACCTCATATCTTTTAAACAAAACAGTTTGTGTATTTCAATAAATGGTGTGAAACTCTAGAGAAAGAAAAAACCTCAGTGTTGATTTAAAGCTATTCCAAGCAGTAGACCATCAAGGGAAAGGCTATTTTTTTCCTGTTTGTTTGAGCATGTAATATTTTGAATTACAGATTACCCCTGTAATTATACCCTCCGTCTCTCTCAACAAATAGTTTTTGCATGCTGACTGGTAACTGTTTATATCCACCTTTATACATTAGCTGTGAGGTTTGAATGATGTTAGCCAGCCTAACGAATTATCCTGATGTCTGTCTTTGTTTTCTCTAGATGTAAAGAAATGTTGGGTTTGTTTTCAGCTTATTCACCTCTATCTCCCAGGAGCTCCTGTAAGCTTTCACCTTAACAGAAAATATTTGTATAATCTAGCAAAACAAACAGGAAAATGTTTGAATCTTTACATATGTCATTTACACACAACGACACTGAAAGCCGGAAGTGGGGCTTGAAGCGGCAAACACCTGCATCCGACGCTACTGTCGCCCCCGAATATTTATATCCACTAATACTAAAAAACTAAGCTGCAGCTACAGACATATGCCACCCTGATAAACATAGTGTAGTCGCTGTGGGTTCTGACTCCAACACACATGGAAAGGATTCCCGCTGCTCTTGAACTTTACTTTGGTTACATGTTGTCTTCTTTTTGCTGTTATTCCCTTCGTTTTCTGTTCCTCTCATCTCATACAGCTCAATGCCGCTTTATGTATAGTCTATTTTTTCCACGAATGCTGCTGCTCTGTTGTCTCCCGCTATCTTCTCGGTGAGCAACACTTGGTTCGACCAATGGGATGAGGGTATTCTGGATCGTTACATACATGCTGTCAGCTCATCTGTGACAACGCAGGACAGGGCCCGGGAATGTGTCCTTGTTCTTGATGTTCCATTAGCTTTTTATTGACTATTTTATTTCTACTCTCACATTGATATGTGACAAAGTGCGTTCCTTTTCCACTAAATACGGGACAGGTACAGCACTTCTATTTCTCAATACCAAACGATTCCGTTTTTAGAGGGACGGTTGGCAACCCTAGCAGCCAGACACAGAGGATAACTTGAGAACTAACTTACCAATCGGCTTAGTGTTTTCCCAAAATGCTTTGCTAGACAGATCCAGTTCATTATGGAACCCCATGTTCTAATTCTGCTTGAAATTATATTAATGATTCAGTTACGAAGAATGTTTTCATCGCTCTCAGTCTAACATCATTCTGTAGCTTTAATGTCACTTTTCTTTATAATCTCAGTGCTTTGGTTCTATTATCCTGCTGTCAAACAGCTGACAGGCTGCAGTTTGCTGAGAATGTGCTTCTGTCATTTCATTCAGCAGGGTTGGAGCAGAGATGCATCGAAAAACATTCATGTCCACCAGGGTGGGGTCTGTACTTTAACTAGGGCTTTGAAGCACCTCAGTTTTATTTCATTTTTTGTCCATTTTGCTAAAGATTTCTTGTGTTTGGGCTCATTTAGAGGATATTTAAAATGTTTTAGTCTACAAAAGAATGTGTGGTTTACTAAATGACTGTATAATGCCCATGTGATATGGCCCAGAAAATAATTCATCCTCTACTTAACAGATGGCACAAAGTATTTTCAATGAAGCTGTGTAAGGTCATACTGTTTTTAAGAAAACAATAAAATACTGTACTGTAAAGTGATTTAACAATATCAAAACTATGCGCCTGTAGAACATATAACCAATATACAGCCATGGACATTTTCAGATTAATGGTTATTTGAAAATATCAATGTCATCAGAGATGTGCAAAATGACAGCAGCATTATTAAACTGAATAAGGTAGAAACTGTGCAAAATCGTTATAAATTTAACAACTTATTGAGATCGTTTGGAGCAGAGATGGTTATAGAGTCTGCTGGGAGGAAGGATCATTTAAGTGCATTTAGGTCGCAGCAGTCTGTCACTCAAGGATCTCTCCGGTTCTGCAACAGCTTCATGCATGGGGTGGAAGACATTATCCAACAGAGATGTTATTATAGTTAGGATCCTTTTGTTTCCCACCTCCTGCACTGAGTCCAGATGGCATCCAATCACAGAGCTGGCCTTCCTGATCAACTTATCCAGCCACTTTCTCTCAGCTACAGATAAGATACTGCTCCAATAGCTCCCTAGAAGATGATGCCACATCAGAGTCATAGGAGGTCTTTAGGAGCGCCCCCTGCACTCCAACAGACCTCAGCCTCCTCAGCAGGAAGAGTCTGCTCTGATGTTTCTTAAACATACATTTCATACATGTTATGAAATGTATCTGAGGAGCTTGAGCTTGTTATTTTGCAGTTTTTGTATTTTCCTGGGCATAAAGTCTGACATCAGGGCAGTTTACCAAAATGTTTTCCAAGTCATGAATAATCCACCTTTCTGTAGAACTATGGACTTTTGTTTAACTCCACTCTAATGAGCAGCAGCTACTGAGCTTCACTGGTCATTGCTAAAGTCTTTCCACCTTGACTCATTGGAAACCGAAGCCCAGACAGCTAAATCACTGAAGGCTTCTATAAAAGAAGTCAAATTGATGATAATCAGTTAGTTGAGAGAAGTTAATTAGCAACTCTTCTACGAATGGCGGTTATTTTTATCCCCTAACTGTACATTAAAATCCTATTTCGATTCAACAAGAGTTAAGTAACAGCTTTAGGTATAAACATTTTGTCTCAGCTATATATTTTATTATTGAAGTGCCAAGACTTGTTACTGCTCTGATTCAAGAACATTGTTTTTCTGTCTGATTCAATAATCCGATAAATAACTCTGACTGATGCCTCACCTCTGCTCACAATGTCCCTCTTCAATTTGGAGCCAGCCGTAAGTGATTAAATCATTATTGGTCGCCTTTAGCTGTCTTCTGCAGCGATGTGCATTTAATTCAATATGACAATTTCTTCTTACAGAGCAGCAGAAGCTGTCCAGAAGTCTCTTAGAGCATGGACACTCAGGAGAAAGCATCTAATAAAGATGCCAGACTGGTTTTCACTGACATTCATTCTGACCTTAGTTTCTAGAGAGTGAGCTGAAACTCAAGAAAAACGTCTCACGAGAACAAAACTGGGGACTTTCTAAGATATCTCTCTTTCTAAGGCATCGGGACATAAAGAGAAGGAATTCTTAAAAGAAAGAACCTCCTCGTGGCTCTGAAACCGCAGCGTTTTGGTTTGATGATCCTACAGAAACAGACAGAGCTGCTGCTGCTCTCCTGAGCTCAGGCCTCAAGCAGCATTTGTGTAATAAACATGCAAAGCACTGCAGTGCTGCTGGAGAGGAGGAGCAGCAGTGATGAAGGTGAAACAGTTCCAATTATCAGGAAGGGAAAATTCGGCTCTGATCTCCAGGTTAGATTAGAAACCGGTGCCGGAGAAAGCTCAAGGAATAATTGATTTAACTAATAAAGGAAAGTACAGAAGCTCATTTATGTCATTGAAATGTGTAATAAACAGGATTACGAACAGTGAGCTGGTCATTATAGTACATAAACCCTGACGAGGTGAATGGAGACCCAACAGGATTATCCCTGCACTGTAAACATGAACAAAAGGTTTTGTAGCCGGCGGTTTGTATTTATCTCAAAAAGAAAACTGAATTCCTGAGCTAAGCTCCATTTTCCCTCCATCACACCAACAAGCAGGGGCATCACTCGGCTCATTTGGCTCTCGCTGGGGATTCTTTTTACTAAACGATAAGAAGAGCTTCCCTCCAGACAAGATGATTTATTTCACAAAATTCTGATGTTTAACAACATTTATGCAGCCACTTAACAAGCAAACACTACTAATAAATACTAAAGCACAACGTGTGGCATTGGATCAGTTTTACAACATACAGGAAATGTTTTACTACTGTATATGTACGTTAAATAGACTTTCACAAAATGCTATTTTTTTGTCAGCCTGATAGGTATGTTTTAAAACCCTTAAAATCAGCTATCATTTTCATGAGCTAGTCCCATTAAACAAAGACACTTTTAAAATAGTTTAAAGGCTGATCTTGTGTGAATGCTGTAAACCTGTTTCTCTTTATTCCGCTTTAATATTCTGGTTACTTCCATACAGGAAGCAACTGGAGAGTGTTGGCCTAGTGGGTTAGAGCAGTGTGCGTGTGCCTTGAGAAGGTTGCAAGTAGCCGGTTTGATCCCCTAGCCTGCACTCTGGGTCCCTGAGCACGACCCTTAACCCCACACTGCTCCTCAGGTGCCACACTGCCAAAGGGATGGGTTAAATGCAGAGGTACATTTCTCCAATGTGACACCTTTTGATTGGCAACTACTTCTGC